TAGTCAATAAAGCACAGGTAAACATTTTTCTGATATTGTTTTCAGCCAAGATCCATCGGACATCAGCAATGATATCCCTCATTCCACAGCCTCTTCTGATTCCGGTTTGAACCTCTGGATGTTCTCTGTCAAAGTATGATTATAGCCATTTCTGTATTAACTTTAGTAAAACTTTACTCGCATGGGATATCAAAGAGATTGTTTGATGATATCCACATTCCATCGGGTCATCTCTCTTTGGAATGGGCACAAACATGGATCTCTTCCAATCAGTCAACCAGACAGTTGTCTTCCAAATTTCTTGGCAGAGATGAGTGAGTGCCTCCTATGCCGCCTCACTTTCTTGAAAGATTTCAATTTTCATTCCATCAGTTGCATCAAGAACAGCAAGTCTGCCAGATCAGGTCTGGAGAAATGCTGCTGTTACTTTTAATGTTTTATAGATCAGTTGGTGACGGCAAGATTATAATAGAATACAAGGACCCTGTGCTTTCTTTGTTAATTTACACCTAACTAGCCCAGTCTGCTCAGTCTGATGGCTGACATAAGCTTGATTCATTTCTGAATTAAATGAGCGAAGAACTATATCAATAATAATATCAAGTTTCAATTATTAATCACCCATTTGCAGTGGACTGCAGGGTCAGTTTGAAGTAGGAGGTTGGCAGTTCAAACTCACGAGCCGCTCCTTGGAAACCCTATACAAGGTCGTTATGAGTAGGAATCGACTCCGCGACACTTAATAACCATGTATTAGAGAGTCTTGGTGTGGTGCTATGGGTTAGTGTGTTGGACAACAAGGTTGGTTTGAACCGCAAGGTTGACTGTTCAAGCTCACCAGCTGCTCCTCGGAAACCCTATCTATATAGGGTTGCTATGGGTTGGAACTGACTTGATGGTGCTGAACAACAACCATATATCAGGCGCTTTTCTATGAGCACTTCATATGTTCTTTCAGTTACAACACACAACAACTATATGTCAGATATTAACACTCCATTCATTCGCAAGTGAGGAAATGAAACAGCAAGATTCTGCAATTTCATGAAAACGACACAGAAAACAATGGGAAAGGCAATGGGAGAGCCCAGGAACCCCGGCCACGCTGGCTCTGAGACACACAATCAGACATGCAGGCGCGCCTTGCCTTTCCGAACCTGTGTGTATCCGAATATGCCGTGTTAACTGGCTGGGCTTCTGAAAGGTCTTCCCACAGTGAGGGCACGAGTAGGTGAATCCACTTCTGTCAATGTTGCGGTTGTACGACCTTGGACCTGAGACCCTAGTGTAAAATAAGGGGACGTGATCAGGAAGTGGGCTCCCTCAGACCTCAATTCCAATTAAAACTGACCACAGAGGTCGGCTGAGTAGCCATCAGAACACACTTTAATTAGACATCAATTACATGCAGAGACAGAGATACAGACCCAAACATGTCACACACATGAAGGAGCTTTAAAAAGTACATGGGATAGCGAGATAAAGAGATAGTGGGATTTTCCACGACTTTTGGAAGCCCCCTCACATATGTGTCTACACCATCAAACTTGTTGCTGTCTAGTTGGTTCTGACTTCCACAGACCCTGTAGGAGAAAGCAGGGCTACCCCAGAGTGTCTCCAAGGCCGTCATCTTGATGGAAACAGACAACAGACTGCCACCTCTTCCTATCACAGAGTGACCAGTGGCTTCTAAGCACGGGCATTTTAGTAGCAACCGAGCCCGTCACTGCTGTGGCGCCTCCAGCAGGAAAGTCACTCTCGACTTCTGAGAAGTATGGGAAGAGCAGCGTGACTCTGCACGGTGTCCTGCTGCCCGGGTAACTTGTTGCGTAGGTTCCCTAGCATATCAGAGGGCAGCACGCACCTGATTTTGTAATGCGTCTTCACGTGCTCCTTGAGCTGGGCCGGCGTCTCAAACTCCTTCTTGCAGGCCTTGCACGTGTGCGTCTGACGCCCAGCCAGCTCCTGCCGATGCTCCTCCATGTGGATAGCTAGCTGACTCTGCAGCGTGAACTCGTCCCCACACTCAGAGCAGATGAGGTTCTGGGAGAGAGTGACACGGTGAGTCCACCACTGTCCACGCCATCACTGCTCAGAAGAGCCGCTCAGGTCCAGGTAACAGCCCAGGGATAAGCCACACCGTCCTCTGGTGCCAACCCCAGCACACCTCCCAGAAAGCCTCCTTGCCCTGTGTACACATCAGAGAAGGAAGCGGTGGGAGGAAGAACGGACGGTCAGCGTGCAAGCTACTGGGCGCTGTGCCCTTTGTCCGTCTGCCGAGAAGTAGAATGGTTCCCACTACACAAGGCCCAGGACAGAATAAAAACGGCAACCACAATTTTACAAGCTACCTAAAGACAGAGTGGCAGCTGCCCACTGGGCGAGCTCGGGCGCCAGGCTCTGGTGCCGCCGACTAATGTGTAAGCGCCACACACACACCAGACTTCAAAGATCACTACCAAAAATTACAATGCAAAATTCCAATTATTTTTTTATCTTTGAGTTGATAATAATTGATAAAATTTACTTTAATAGCTATGAGAAAAAAATGTAAAATAGCTTAATATTTTCATATTTAAATTGAAACCTTAGGCATAATATATGAATAAAATTTATCTCACCTGTTACAGAAAAATAATGTAAAATGTTTTTCAGATATGAATGGGTAATACCTTGGTTGGTTGGCTGGTTATGTGCCACGGAGTCAGTACTGACTCATAGTAACCCTGCACAGGGTTTCTGAGGCTGTCAATCTTTAGGGGAGCAGCAAACCTCATGTTTCACTCATGGAGCAGCTGATAAGTTCTGAACTGCTGACCTGAGGTTGGCAGCCTGATGGGGAACCACCACCCCACTAGAGCTCCTTGACGAGGTCTTAGAGCTATGATACTAAATGTGTTGTTGTTGTTAAGTGCCGTTGACTCAGTATGTGGTTTCTAAGCAGCGGGTACTGGATTTGAACCACTGGCTTTATGGTTACAGTCGGTTCTTTGGCTTCACCTGCTGATCTGGCTTTGTGAAGTGTGGCGATGAGAAGCCGTCTGATTGCTCACGTGACAGTTCCATTAGACAGCCCTGCTCCCTGCATTCCTGGGTTGGGGGCTAGCTACCTGAACTTGGACATGGTCAGCTCAGAGGCAGAAAATGAGGGGAACGGTCCCAGCGGCCCTCCTAGGGCTGTTCCCACATTGGACGAGGAAGTACTGGGCAAGCCCTCCGGGCAGTGCCCAGAGCTGACCACTCTCATTTCAATTCAGTCACTCGTCCAGAATTCAATCATACAATCATTGACTTCCATGAAACTTCAAATGACTTTCAAACATGAAAAAAGTAAAAAATGGGTGCATGCTCCTTAGAACAATCACCCATAGGAGAACAAAAGGGCAGCACTTGCCCAGAGAGAAAGTTCCAGAGGCAGGATGGGACAGGGCATCCAGGAGGCAGCAGGGAGCGTGCCGACGTCACGAAACCAAATGTGTGTCATTTGTGGAATGGAAGACCATGTTGTTTTGTAAGTTTTCACTCGAAGCACAATTTTAAAAAAAGGCAGAACTTGCTCAGGAACATACACTGCTATTTCTCCCGGTCATCGTCTTCTGCTAGTCTTTATGTAAAAACACCAGCTTATGCTAACACTGGAGCTGACCGTCAGGATTGTCTGCAGGAAAAGATGAGGATGGACAGAGCAATCTGAATCACCCTTTCACAGTTTCATCAGAAATCATCTTCTAGTGGGGCTGTACCACACAAGGTGAGGCTTTCTACTCTCGCCTAGATTTAAAGTCTTGGAAACTCTCTACAGGGTTGCTGTGAGTCAGAGCCAACTAAGCAGCACTTTATAACAACATGAAGATACCAGAATTTAGGGAAATGAACCGAGATTGTCACTGAATTGCTGACAATACAGAAGATTCTAAGAAACTGTCAGAAAGACGACACCTTGCTAATTTGCTGTATCTCTTTTGTAAAAATACTGAATGTTGTATATCAGACACTGTTTACTCTGCATCACCACCCCCCAGGTCACTGTTGAGGAAGTAACAGCTGAACCTGACGTTTTCACTCTCCACCTCTCCTCTGTGTGAGCCACACAGACCCAGCCTGTAACGCCGTCCTTACCGAATGGTCAGACTCAGGTGTCGCAGGAGTATCTGCATGGATATAACACATACATCTGTCAACATGCTGACCACTCTCATGAGGGAAAGCTTGGGAAGAGGTACACCTTGCTCAGAAATGGTAAAAGCAGGGGTCGAGACATACAGTATTCTCCAAGTTTCTGACATGTTATCAGGAGGGACCAGTCTCGGGAGTCACAGTGGAGGGTCCATGAACAAGAGGAAGAGCCTAACAAGCTGGACTGGTCCAGCTGCGGTGGGCTCACACATACACAACAATTGTGAGGATGGGGCAGTGTTTGGTTCTGGAACCCCTCGATGGCACCTCACAACCACTGGTCTAACCACCTGAACTACTATGGAAAGCATGGACAGCAAACAGCTCGTCTGGACGGCTCCTCATGCCTCCTCCATTACGTGTGCAGGTGTGTGTTTGCAGCATTTTCTAAAACAAGCACATGCCACTCATGCTACAAGGTCAAAAAGATCAAGGACACCATCTATAGTGAAATTAAAAGCGTACTTAAAAAGAGGATTTGAACCCATTGATAAAGTATGAACTCAGTGTTTCTGAGCCATGCTTTACATGTGCTGTGTACACCCTCTGCTTAGTTCTCTTAGGAAGACAATATACCCCGGCTACCAGACACCATCTCTGGATGGCAGTCTTAGAGGGGATTTTCACTTTTCTTATTTTCCTACAATCACCATAACCGAAACCCAAACCTACTTGCCAAGGAGTCAAGTCCAACCCCCAGCAGTCCCCTGTGTGTGACAACAGAACAGAGGCCCATGGACTTCTCGATGACTGCTGAGTCAGAGAGCACTGCTGGTCTTCTGAGGAACCAAGCATCGGTCAGCAGCTAAGCACGTAGCTGTTATACCCGCAGAGCCTCCTTTAAATACCAGCCATTTAAAGTCTAAGTTTGAACCCCCAACAACAGGAGGCTCTCTGTGCACCTATCAGCACTGTCACCTTTCATCCCTGGAGCTGGGGACATTACGATGACACACACGGGCAGACAGACGGGGGCCATCTATGACTTTCTTCTCCCCCACCCTCCAGATACTCTGGGACCCCCAGAGCCACATGAGGACGGACATTCTACCAGCTTCAGAGGCCACTGCAGAAAGTGAATTTTTGTTAAAAAAAAAAAAGTGGGGAGGGGTGGTCTCTGCCAGCCCACTTGGGTGTGTTTCCATCTTCCTCATACACTGCACACCAAGATCTCTCCACCGATGCTACTGGCATCACCAGGAAAGAAAACGGTCCATCAGTAAGCTGGGCCTCGGCCAAGGCAAGTGTCATGGCGATGAACTGAAGTCCACCCGCAGGGCTTTCTGAGTTCATTCACACCTCCAGCCCTCCTGACTGGAGGGGCAGCGCATGCTCACAATGTGTATGTGCTTAAAGGCTTACCTCTTCCTTCTCGTGCAGCATAATGTGGGCCTTGAGACTGGCCACTCTGGAGAATTTCTTGTTACACACAGGACACGTAGGGTCTTCCCCGTTGTGGGTGCATTTATGAAGTGTCAGGTTGAATTCAACATTAAATGTTTGGGGACACTGGTCACATCGGTGTGGCTATTTGGAGAAAAAAGTAAAGAAGCCATTTAAACAGTCTCTCCAGAGACGCCGTCTTGAATAAGACGCGTCTGATTAAAGCACCAGAGCACAGAAGCAATCTCTCTCAGGAAGTCCCACCGCCTCTTCTAGGTCGGAAATGGTTAGCCTTCCCCAAATGTCTTTCCTAAGGTAAACCACCTAGACGAAGGAACACTCGTGTGAGAATGCACCCAACCCATGCTTCCTAAGTAGTCTCTATGGAAACGCAAACACGTGAGGAAGCTCAACTCCTTAGCTTCTGTTTCTGACTAAACTCCAGAGATCGGACATCCAAACTTTAACTGGATCTTAACAAAGTTGGGGAAACACAGCAGGAGGTTGCACACTTATGGAGTCTGGAACTTGGGAGGCATACTTAGGGTTCTCCGCATCTCAGTCTATGATTTTACCAGCTGGGTAGTGTCCCACCCTTCTTGTAAGCAAAGGACTGGTGATGGGTCTGGAGCAGACCGATGCACACCACAATGAGGAGAATGTCGGACCTGACAGGATTCCAGCGTGGGGCAGTGTGATCAGTCTGATGCTGGACTCGTCCTGTGTCCATCCAGCCTCCCACTATGAACACAGTCAGCGGCCCCTCTGTGAGTTCTGCCTGCCACTTTCCCTCTGTCACATATGTCACTGTGATTCTTGGCATACCCAGAAGGCCACTACAGAAAGAGGTTCAAGTCTCTATTGAAGGAAGTACTGCGCCCCCTGCAGCTGAAGTACAAGCACAACCGTCCTGAAGAGCCTTTGAAATGCAAGACTTTTAAGACTAGGACTCCCTCCCTAGTGGAGCAAACCACTTCTGGCAAACATCAACTCTGCCTTTGGTCTGCAGGAGATTCATTCATAAGGACCCTGGTCCCTCAGACAGGCCGTGACAAGCTTGGGGTTCTCTCCTTATGGAATGACAGCTGGGAACAAAACTGTAACTCAAAAAAATATGAAAATATGGGTTTGTTCGTAGGATAGAAATCCCGGTTATAAAAAAAAAAATTCAAATTTGCTATGTGGACTTTCATACTCCATCCGGTTTCAACGCTCCATTTCTGGTGCCCCTCTTAAAATACGAACCTTGTCATTTCGCTCATGGTCCCTCATGTGGCGTTGAAACTGGGACTCTTTTGGGAAAGACAGCAGACAGATTTCACATTTATGGAAGTTTGGAACTTGGCAGGCATAATTAGTATTCTCCGCATTCAGTGTTAAAACTCCATCTATAAAAATACATAAGTACAGACAATAAGTACTCACTGTCATTCCTATCGCATAAAAATAACAAAACGGTTTCATTATTGTTTAAGAGCTAAATTATATCCGAGATTTATAGGAGATTTCAGGTGAAATTAAGGAGCTCGTCTACTGCTAAAAATGGACACGTGCCTACATTAGAAATGGGAACTATTGGGATGAAAGACCAAGGCTGGGAGCAAAACGAAGTTCAAGGGCACTGTCAGCCTACAGGGCACCTGCTCGGAACCTGCACACACCACTGAGCATTGTCCCTCTGACTTGGGGGAGACCTCATCAACAATCCCCACTTTCTTCAATGACTCAGGAAACAAAGTTCTAGTGGAAACTAACCTTTACATACGAATTCATCTACTGAAAGCAGACTATGTCCATGAGAAAACAAAACAAAACAAACCATATGTTCTCTTATGCACTTATGGTTTAGGGATATATGAGATTGCAAATCTGCTTCTATAAACTCATCCCAGTAAGCGGCAATAAATTTAACATACTTTCAAGTAGGAATAACTATGACAAATATTGTATTACAGAAAAATAAATCATAAAAATCATCCAGAATATCATAAAAGACACCACAAATTGATAAGACTCTTTAAAATAAATAAATACAAGACAGCTTCAAAAAGAGTTGTGTAAAAATTCCATTATCTTTTCATTGCCGTTTTCCACAATTTTCATCATATACTCTAAGTCTCATGATTTGGGCATAATTGTATCACACGCATTAACTAGAAAACCCAAAAATATTGAGACCAAAAGAACTAGATGGGGCCCAGCTATCCCTACCAACAGCTCTACAAGGGATTACACTAGAAGGTCGTGGACAGAGAAGGAGAAAAATGTGGGTCCAAACTCAAAATCATTATAAACAAAGAAAGACCAAGTTTACTGGTCGGCAGAGATTAACGGAACCCCAACACCATGGTCTTTAAACACCGTTCAGGTTTGGAAACGGACTCATCCCCAGGGCTCAACTTTCAGCCAAACAACAGACAGCTAGCTCTGAGGGGAGGTACACACACGTTAGAAAAATCAGCATTATGAGATCAAAGGGCAGCATTTGTCCAAGGAGCCAGTTCAGAAGGGTTAAGAAAGGAGGAGGACTGGAGACAGCCTGGGAGGGTGGGAGATGAATGATGCCACCTGCTACCCTGTAGAGATTGTGGCCAGCGAACAGCAAAGAAGCAAAATGCACATGGATGGTTGACCTTGAACTTCGGGTCTGCTCTATAAACCTTTACCCAGTTCACAATAAAAAGTGTCTAACACAAATACAAATGGCAAGATATACATCCCATACAACTCTGTATCAAATGTGATCCAAAAAGTACTGCACTTTAGCAATCTGGGAGCAGGGTGAGGGCTCACTGAAAAGGCCTTCCACGTCGCACGCTCACAGGTGGCAAAGACACATGCATGCACAATGGTCTACTACTAGACCACAGGTAAGCCCCTATTTTGAATTAAAAAAAAAAAAACAGAAGCCTGGTGGCTTAATGTGTTAAGCACTGGGTTGAAAACCAAGAGGTAAAGTGGTTCAAATCCACCAGACACTACGCAGGAGGAGGACTTGGCAACCTCCTCCTAGAAGACTAGCCGCCTGGGAGCTCCTATGCCATCGTTGTCAAGTTGGTTCCGACTCATCCCCAGGCTGGTAGAGTCTGAACAGTCGACTGTGTGGTTAGCAATCCAGTGCTTATCCTACAGTACCACACCAGGACTCCTGGAGGCCCTCCCTGGAGGGCAGTTCACCTCTGTTCTACATGGTCACTGTGAGTCAGCACTGATTGACCACAAAGAAGATTTGGGGTTAAGAACAGAGCCTGCAGTTATGATTGCCCAGCATCCTCCTCACCTAAGCAGAGTCCATTCGAGAGCAGTGACGGCCTTGAGGGAGTGGAGTGGGGGGGCGGTAGTAGGTGGGGCAGGGACGGGGGGGAGAACTTCAAACCTTCCAGCAGAGCCTTGAGAAAGGCAAATTCCAGTCCCAAGAAAAGCTAATGGAGCTCAGAAAACTGCAACTTCATTCAGCAGCAAAAGAAGTCCACTTAGGAAAGGGCAGATGGCCGTTGCTCGTATTTTTAGATACAGCTCTGCCTTGTTCAAAGGCTATACTTACAGTTTCTGCACTAAACCGAATGACCATGTTGATGACTCCGAAGAGTAAATAACATGTTCATTGTGACCACGTCAATTAATACATAGGTATGTGTCCACTTAACATCAGTTCACACAACATCCGGGTCCCATGAGTGTCTCCGCCCCTTTTTAAAAAGAAGGAAACGCTCCTTTTGTTTACAATCTTCCCCTAATAGCTGTAAGACCCCGAAGCCTCGCAGCACTGGGCTCGTGTCGCACTGGGCAGCAGGTGGAGACAGGAAGGTGAGGCAGAGGACATGGCTCTGGGTGCACTGGACCCCTGTACAGGCAACGAAGACACAGGTACAGAAAATTCTCAGACACAGCCACGGATCTTCCAAGATTGCTTTTCTGGAACCAAGGGTTAGGACGAGAGTCTCCAGGGATAGCTCAGTCCACTGGCATGACATAGCTCACTCACCAAGTTCATCCTCTGCATCCTGACGAGCAGCAGCTGGCCATGAGACATTCAGCAATCATTTAAGACCCAACTCTGGTTCTCTACCCAGCAGCAGCAAGCAGGAAGCAAGCAACCACTATCTCAGAGAAGAGGCAAGTCTTCCGGGCTGACCTAGAACTAGACGGTGCCCAGCTACCACCACTGACCCCTGTGACCAGCATTGCCATAGATGAGTCCCAACAGAAGAGAACAAAGTTGTAGAACAAAACTCAAATTCCTGACAAAGGGCAGCCTAACTGGACCAGGGGTGACCACAGGTCTTCCCTGACACTACGACCCTGAGACACTCTTTAAACCTTTAAGTGCATCTATCCTGAGATGGCTATTTAGCAAAACAGCAGAGTAGCATCCCAAATAAAGGCTATCACTCAAACTTTGTGTCTCATACTTCAGACATACTGTCAGCAGGGACCAGTCGCTGGAGAAGATTATCATCATGTTTGGTAATGTGGAGGGTCAGAGAAAAAGTAGAGGACCCCCAGCGAGATGGATTGGACTCAAGTGTGGCAACAATTGTGAGGTTGGCCCAGGACCCGGCAGTGTTTCGTTCTGTTGTGCATAAGGTGGTTATGGGTCGGTCCTGACTCGATGGCACCTAACAACAACTACAACCCAAGGAATGGTGCTCTACTAAAACCCAGAAAGTCAACCTTTACTCTAAAGCAGAGCTGAGACTTAGCATCAGATGTCAGGACTCAGAATAAGCAGAGTAATTAAGACAGTGACACTAAGGACAAAACTACAACAGAACTGAACCACTTAGAGAACAATCCCTGATGTATACAGGTAGTCTCCTACTTACAACAAACCACACTTACGACCATCCACATAGCTGCACAGCAAATCTTCCTAGGAGAACACTACGGGGAAATGTATGCTACTCAGGGAAACACTGCTGCGACACCTGAACATGGCCCGAGCATCTGATCAGAATGAACGATGGAAGAAAGCAGTAGAAACAGTGTTCATGTGACAAGAACCTGGTATGGCCGGTGTAGAGCAACTTACAGATTCTGAAGAGGAACTGACAGATGAGGACTGAATGAGTTTTAAAGAGAATGGAGATGCTGAAGACAAAGACAAGGAGAAGGAAGGACAGAAAGGGTTATCTGGAGCTGTTTCTAAATAAAATCAGGGGCTTGAAAACACGGAACCCAATGCTTACCACCTTGCTACAGTAAACAGGCAGACTCGGGAAGCAGTACGACTGCAACGTCACCACAAAACAGAAGAAAAGGAGCAAGGACCAAACAGACAACTCTGATTTTTTGACTAGAAACACCCCAGATGATTCTAAACCTTTCACAAGTGGAGTTATCGCCACAGCTAACAAAATGCCAACACTGTCTACCTGTTCTTCATCACCGGAGTTCCCTGTGTGATTGTGGATTTTTCTGTGGGGATGTAGACGTCCTGGTGTACTGCTGAAGGACAATGCACTGGACTGCAGTGTTGGTTTGAACTGCGAGGTCGGTGGTTCAACCCCACCAGTCGTTCCTCAGAAACCGCATACAGAGTCGTTATGAGTCAGAACCGGCTCGGAGGCACTTAACAACAACATGCATGTATATGTGTATTTAAATACATCTATATGTTTACATGTAATGTTTCCAAACCTCGAAGACAAATGTCAGATTTACTTAAATAATGATAATAAAAAGGTAGTAATAATGAAAACTAAAAAAGAGAGATTCTGTTTGCATCCTAACTTCAGGTGGAGTTATCAGAACAGAAACTGTGTAACAACAGCAAACATTAGACGGACTTCAACAAACAGTATAGGAAGGACAACAATAACATACTGCCAATGAGTGGATTCTAAAGCTTTACAGGCAAAGACAGCCTGATTTCTCTATGTTGTTGTTGTTGTTGTTAAGGGCTGTCAAACTGGCTTCGACTCATAGCGACACTCTTTAGAGTTTCCAAAGAGCAGCAGGTGAGTTTCAACCACCAGCCTTCTGGTTCAAACCAACCCTGTGGTACAGTGCTTTATCCTCATACCACCATACCAGGGCTGGTTATCAAAAATTCCTTAAATGCATCACAGAAACACTAAGAAGAAGGACCAATATTAAGATAAGGAGCTGATATCATCAAAAGAGCTCATTAAAGGAGTAAATTGGAAAGCCCAAAGAATTCCTATTTAGCATATGTAAAGAATGCTTATGAACTGACAATAGAAACATACACAATCCATCACTAAAGACTATAGACGTGTGGCAAATAAGTCAATGAAAAGAGGCTCAGCGCCTAAGTCATTGTTGTTGTTGTCAAGTGCTATGGAGTCAGTTCCGAGGAGCAGCTAGCTAATGGGTTTGAACTGCTGGCCTTGTGGTTCGCAGCTCGATTCGTAACCACTACGCTAGCATGGCTGAAATCCAAAACATCGGATACTACCAAGAGCTCATGAGGATGTGAGGCACTCTCATTCGTTGCTGATGGGACAGGAAACAGTACAGCCCCTCTCAAAGGCGGTTTGGCAATTTCTTATAATGCTACCCAACTCTCAGCAACCCTGAACAGAGCAGAACTGTACCACAGTGTTTCTCCATACTTAATACTTCCCCAGCAGAGCGGAACTCCTTTCTTACAAAGCTCAATTTAGTATTATTTTAGGATCTAGCAATCTCCCTTTCAAGTATTCACCCAAATGAGTTGAAACCTTACATGCACACAAATGTTTATTGCATCTTTATTCAAAATTGTCAAAGCAAAACTGTCTTCAGTGAGTGAGTGGATAAACAACTATGGGCCATCCAGGCAACGTAATCTTATTTAGCAACAAGCAATATGGAAGATACGGAAGAACCCTGAATGACAACTGGTAACTGAAAGAAGCCAATGTGAAAGGGGAACACAGTGTGAGATTTCAAGTATACGGCATTCTTAATTAGGAGTCCTGGTGTGGCGCTGTGGGCTAATGCGTCAGAATGGAAAGTCGTTTGACCTGCAAGTTCAGTGGTTCAAGCTCACCAGCTGCTCCTCGGAAATCCTACACAGGGTCGCTATGGGACGGAACCGACTGGAGCACTTCACAACAACAATAGAGACTAAAAACATCAGTAGTGGCAGGGGCGTGGAGGGAGAAGGGAAAAATGAACAGGTGGAACCGAGAGGCTTTCTAGGACTGTCAACTTCATGTGCATGATGCTACAGTGGTGACTAGGTGGCACCACACATTTAACGCAATTCACAGCGCTAATGACCACATGAACCTCAGCCTTCATGGCCCGAGATGAGCAGAAACAGATGGCACCCATCTACCAGTGCTGAACACAGGAACAATGTGGAACAAAACTCAAATTCATCCAAAAGACCAAGACTGCTGGTCTGATAGAGACTGGAGGAAGCCCCTAGACTGCAGTAGCCCTTAGACACTCTTCAGGCCTGGAACAGAGCCCAGCCTCAAGGTGAGCGGTTACACCAGGGAGGGCCACTCTCCTTGGAACAATCAACCATACACAGGAAAGCAAAAGGGCGGTATTTGCTCAGGGACAGGGCTCTGAAGGCAGGAAGAAGGATGAAGGGACACTCAGGAAGAAGTGAGAAGAGAGCTGCTGTATTTTAAGGATACAAACAATGTCTTGACACAAAATGGGTATGAATTGTGGGATGGACCAATTTTCTCTGTAAACTTTCACTCAAATCACAATAAAAAAGTTTAAGGAAACAAACAAAAAACCATAGAACTAGACAACACAAATCCTGAACCATGATATGAGCTATGGACTTTAGTTAGTAACAATGTGCCAATATTGATTCATCAATTTTAACAGACATACGAACATAATGCCAGGTGTTACTGATAGGGAAAGGAAGAGAGGCCAGATACATGGGAATCTTCTCATGTTATCTGCTCAGTTTCCAAAACTCTAAAACTGCTCTAAGAAATGAAATGTATTCATTGCAAAACAAAAGAGAAATGGTGTTGTAGTTAAGTTTTCCTATCAATGTGACCGCGCCAGGATTCTTAGTGATTTAGCAGAACTCCTCCATACATGAGGAGGTACAAGAACTGAATAGAAAATTTCAAAGATCAGCTCGAGAAGATAAAGCCAAATATTACAACAAAATGTGAAAAGATCTGGAAAAGGAAGAACAGGCTAAGGATTTCTCAAGCTGAGGGAACTGAAGAAAATATTCAAGCCTCCACTTTCATTATTGAAGGATTCTCTGGGCAAATTATTAAAGGATGCAGAAAGCATCAAAAGAAGATGGAAGGAATACACAGAGTCACTATACCAAAAGGAAATGGGTGATGTTCAATCATATCAAGAGGCAGCATATGATACTGAAGGAGGAAGTCCAAGGTGCACTGAAGGAATTGGCAAAGAACAAGGCCCCAGGAATTGATGTAATAAAAATTGAAATCTTTCAAGAATGTGAGGCGGCACAGGAGGCACTCCCTCATCTCTGCCAAGAAATTTGGAAGACAACTAACTGGCCAACTGATTGGAAGAGATCCATATTTGTGTCCATTCCAAAGAGAGGTGACCCAACGGAATGCGGAAATCATCAGACAATCTCTTTGATATCCCATGTGAGTAAAGTTTTACTAAAGGTAACACAGAAAC